TCGAACTCGTAATCAGCATGCTCGATTACCCCCTGTGCCAAATCCCAGCCCCGTAGCTCAAACTTTGCAAAAAAATCGATAAAATCGATAAAAGTAATCGACATTTTTGAAAACTAATATTTATTCGGAACCCCCATGCTCGATTACCCCCCTGTGCAAACCCCCAGCCCCGTAGCTCAAACTTCGCAAAAAATCGATAAAATCGATAAAAATAATGGGCGATTTCAAAAGCTAATATCGAACTCGTAATCAGCATGCTCGATTACCCACTGTGCAAACTCCCAGCCCCATAGGTCAAACTTTACAAATAATCGATAAAATCGATAAAAGTAATCGATATTCCTGAAAACTAATATTGTATTCGGAATCCCCATGCTCGATTACCCCCCATGTGCCAACTCCCAGCCCTGTAGGTGAGTTCTGCAAAAAATCGATAAAAATCGATAAAATCGCTATCGATCGATGACGAAAAGTAGCCTATGACACCCGTCGGGGCCAGAAGTGTGTGTGCAAGTTTGGTCCGGATGGTTCAGAAATGGAATTTTCTATTCGGAACATACGTACACACATACAGACAGACAGACAGACATACAGACAAACAGGCATTCAGCTTTATATATAAGACCAGTCCAAAACGCCGCTTCGCGGCGCTTTGGACTGGCTGTGTGTGTGAAGTGGGTTGTGGCTAGAAATTACAACTTTCAAAAATTTATAGCGAAAGGTAAGGCACAGATTTGAAAACGTAAGTCAAGTAAGTTACCGAATTAAGTAAGTTACCCCATAAGTTACCAAATTCGTGGATCTTTCCTGCTTTCGTATTCCGAGGATTTTCTTGTCAAGGGTGGCAACAGAATTATGATTGCTTCCTCCAAGCTTTTGCTAGGCGCGCTCCTCCCTTTGCTTCACACATACTCGTTGTATAGCGTTTTGCTATCCGGGCACTTGGAAAAATCCCTCCCCCACCATTCCTTTTCACCCAGAAGCAAGTGCCTGTCACATACCCGACAAAGTTTTATCAGCCACGTGCACTGTTCTCATCCGGGTCCCTGCTTCCACACTGAGTGACTTCCCAAACTGCCTTAAAACCCTCCCTTCCCCCCCCCCCCCCCACAAATAAAGTTCTAGCTCAAACTTCTCATCTCTTTCCGAGATTGAAATAGCGAGAAAATTCGAGTTAACATCCTTGAAAATATAGCGAACATTCAAACCAATTCTAGAGTTTTTCAAATTTTAAACTCCCTCTTTTTTTCAAAAAGTAGTTTTTTTGGAAGCGTCACAATTCCTCTATGACAAATCTCTCGATCACGTTTCATAAGGGCTTCCAAACTGTCCAGCATCCTTGCAATTCATGCATAGGTGCTCCAAAATCCATTAATTTTCAGGTTATCTTGTTATTAGGAAGCTACTGATTCAAATTCTTGAGAAGACCTACTCAAAGGTGTTTTTTTTAGCTGCTCACCTAAAATCTCCGCCTCTTGTACAAATTTGAGGTTATTCACATTTGTAGACATATGACGCCTAAAAAGTTGTGATTCTGGCTAGATTGTTTAGAGCTTTTGCATTAATAGAAATCTTCAAGCAGAAATTTTTTCATACTTCAATTGTAGGAAAAATACTCACAAAGTCAATACAAAAACATGTAAGATTTTTGAAGAGCGCGAATTTTTTTCAGCTATTTAGGGGCGCGCAGTGAAAATTGTAATAGTCAATAATGCACTCTTTGACGCGTTATGAGTAGTAGACATTTGCAGAATGAATGATGTTTGTAAATACCTTTTGAATGGCATGCTATAGTTTCACAGATGCTAAACATCTGATTCAAGAATTTGTATCAATCGCTAATCTCTTGCAGAGTCAACAATGTTTTCTGGGGAAATTCAGTGTCGCGCTGTCCAACAACGTGTTGCACGATCAAAACTGCGCTCAAATTACTGCTAAATACAGAGAATAAAGTTGCTTTTGAGAGGATAAGCATCGACATTTGTGAGAAGAGAAGCACTTGAAAAACGAAAGATTGCAATGTTCTGCCGAAATACCTGACAATTTTTTTTGAATGACATAAACATTTCAAACGCAGTGCTCATTCACAATAAATCATAGGTACAGATTGTCCGAGAAAAGTAGAAGTATCTGCGAAAAATTTCCAGAAACAGCTCTAGCGCAGTTTGTCGATAAAAACATTTCCTAGGCATTTCACGGAAGAATTCGAAAAATTCAAACCTTCTTGCTGAGATATGTTAGCAGAAAAATTAGAAGGCAGGATAATCCATCGGAAAAGATTTGGTGCAACTGTTTTGGGGTGAGGAAACATATTATGCACTCGAGAAACGAATAAGGGGGTCGCACTACTTGCTGAAATTGACATTTTTGAAAACTTATGGTGCACTCCAATTTAAACGCTCCAGAGAGAAGCTTGAGATGTCAAAAAAACAAAATAAAACTTCTAACAACGATTTCGGCTGCACTTATTAGAACAGAAGAATGGTAACCATATGTCGGAAGTCTTAAAAGAGGTCTTGCTCAAATCAAAGAATGGAAAAAAATTTTTTTAAAAATGAATTCGATGCAGTTTTCTATGTGAACTTATCAAAGGTTTTCAAACAAACTGAATACTCTTGAATCATTCCAATAGGGTGCTCATTCCAAATTTCTTAAAGAACAAAAGAATTTGCAATCTTTTGCAGTAATGTTGAAGGAGTATGGAGGTTTAAGAAAAATTGTAAACTACCTTTTTCAATTCAGACAAATTCAGGTCTTTCTTATAAAACGATTCGAACTATACGAAAGAGTTAGCTTGTCTAGTGACTGCAATTTTTGGTTATGCCAATTGATCAACATCATCTAAGACAGGCATCACTGCCGCTGTGAGTCATCAGCTCGGTACGCTCGCACCGGCACAGAACGATGGTCGGTTGTTTACACCTCTGCCGCGAGCGATGACGTCAGATGGGGGTGCTTGCGCTTTATATATAGTATGATAGTGAACAATATAAATAATAATAGTTTGATTTAAAAGTGGTAACTTCATTTATCCATTTATAACTTTTGAAGCGGCTTTATAGTAGGATCAACGCAATCAAAAAGTAAGTCATGCTACTTTTTATATATTGTAATTAACCACAATAAAAAAATTTCTGAGCACAAAGTTTCTACTTGATGCTGGGTCTTCCTTCCTTACTGAGGAGTTCCGGGGAAGACCCAGTAATCAAGTCATACTCTGTCTAAGGGAAGGAAGAAATGGAGTGAAAATGTTACACATACAACTTATCTTTTATTATTAAATTTTATTTGGCCATATAATAATAAAGCTATTTAATAATGGCAGCCAAATATGTCCGCCTATCCTTATAAGGGAGCACTAGTATGTCAAAGTAGACGGTCTTGAAGGAGACAATACTGTATTTGTGATTGCCACATACTTCTCATGACGCAACATACTTCATAGCCACATACTTCTTCTCATGACATAGTGTATTTGTGATAGCCACATACTTGCTCATTACAGCAAAATTTAGTTCATTCATAAATGTTGATTCTGAAAGAAGTAACACTTTAAAACGAAAAATCTGCAAATCGGGCAGAACTTTCGGAACAACCTAGTAAATAAATATTCGTAATATTCGTTGACGACTGCCCCGTTTCGTGCATTTACACCACCGCGGGCGTGCCTTTTTGAAGCCTTTCCAGCTTTACAGTATGCTACAGCGCGCAGGGAATTCGCAGCTCGCAGCGCCCCTGTCCTTTAATTTCTTCTGCATTTCTCATCTTTTTTTCATTTTTAATCTTCATTTCAGGCAGCTGCTCATCAATCAGTCGTTCTTCTTTTCTTTTTTGAAGTTCTCTCGGTCGAATACCCTACAAATTCTGCTTTGACGGGTACTGGAAGAGCAGGAAAAAAGTTTTGGCACAGTTATTGAACTCATTCTCCTTTCTACATATCATACAAACATTTTAAGAATCGTAAGTTATCGTCCGCATAATTAGGTGAAAGGGGTGTACTTCTTCATGAGCAGTGAGTGAGTAGTGATGGCTAGCATGCCTTCTCCTCAAATGAGACTACTGAAATGTTTATTTTAGCACATTTACATGTGTCCTTGATGTAGGACTGCTGAAACACCCACTTCAGCAGTCTCTCTTGAGAAAAAATGGCAAATCATTACGAAACACGAAGAAAACTTTGCACTCCCGATCATAGCCACGATATACGCCATTGCAGAAGAAAACTCATTATTCCTTCCGATTTCTTCCGGAGCAATGTTGCGCGTATGAAAGTGTGTAACTGCCTAAAATGAAAATTAAGGAGAAAAAAACGATGTGAAATCCTCAAAAAACAAAAAGAGGTTAAAGGACGGGCATGCTGAGAGCCGCGAATACCCCGCGAGCTGCAGCGTACTGTAAAGCTGGAAAGGCTTTAAAAAGGGACGCCCGCGGTGGTGTAAATGCACGAAACGGGGCGGTCGTCGACGGATATCCTTTATATAAGTAGATGCTCTCTTGACTCATTATCATTATAAAGCTAGACACGCTGCGTGGCTTGTTAATCGTCTTTGTTTCTATTAATTTCATCACATCTGAGACTCTTTTGCACTTCCTTGAGAATTACTGTATACAACCGGGAGGCGCCAACGAATTTACACATCCGGTCTAATTCTTGTCCCCGAAACTACTTACAGGGCTTATCAAACGCAGTGTTGCTTGCATCATTCCACTCCCGCGCTGAACTCTGCGTCTCTTCCGCGAACATGCTCTCTGATCCCAAGGCGGAACCTCACTCGATTGGAAGTGCTCGGAGAGCATGTTTGCGGAAGAGACGCAGACTCCAGCGCGGGAGTGGAGATGCTGATGCAGTCGACACTGCGTTTGATAAGCCCTTTATGTGTGGAAAATAATTAGTTACTCCTCTTCCTCATTAGTCCTACTCATTCGCGATAATTCTCTTGTTCTTATCTCAAGTGATGCTATATGTTCTTTTGCTAATGTCATCAAATTAGATTGTTTAGTACGAAAAACCATTCGAAGAGCAACTGAGAAACGAGACCGCTCATCGAGTTCACTTACTGAAGCAACGAATTATCGACGAACTTTGGGAGATGAACAATAATGGCACACCATACGCAGTCTGGTCGGAACGAGCTCAGATTGCGTAAGTTGGCGAAATTATTTTCATTTTGAAGGCCAGAATTTCCAATCCCGCTCACTATGGTGACCAAATCCTTTCCAAAATAGTCGTCATTTGCAGCATGGATGACATTATTCGCGACGTTTTTGTTGATTATACAAAGAATTATATGACACCTGATGATGTCATTACTGGCTCAGGTCCATTTAAATGGTCTTTCGAATCGAGCATATTCTTCTCTTGGACTGCCATCACAACTATCGGTGAGTTCTACATTTATGTGAATCACTACGTAATATATTATGAAATCGTTGTTTACCCATTATTACCCGTGATCCGTTGAACACGGCAAACGAGGAGGCAGCAGACGGAGAAATTATGATGAAATATGCTGATCTTTCACTTTGGATTGCTGCCAAGTGGCATGCGTTTTGGGACGCTGCCAAATTTCATAACGAGTGACCAAGCATATTTTCGTAAAAGGGTCAAACGTATTTCGAAAGGCGATCATGAGTGTCGCAATAATTTTGAGAATATGTCGCCAGTGTCCGGGTGTGCTATTTGTACCTTTTTTTTCGAGCTTGTTATCCCAGAATGTGTCTTTTAAATATGTTGTACTCCTGTTGATTTTAAAATGATGCCAAATTGCGTAACAGCGTGACTTGAGCTAAATTCATCCATGTTGTCAACTCTTGGTAAACCGTGTGTAGACAAGAGAGTGCGTGAGTAACTTGGCCTCGCTGGTACGTTTGAAAGCGTTTGTCTAACAACAACCTTGCTTTGCTTGTATGACTGGGCCCGCTGGTGCTTTCAACTAGGTATCGTTGTGTAAGTGGCACGTAGGGCAATTCGATCGGGCAGGGAAACAGATTTTTGTGCGTTTGGGGCAGAATTCATTCTTTCTCAGAATTGAAAATCCTAAAGTGACATGTACGGCAATTTGAGAATACGCTATAAATACTTGAATTCGTTGTTGTTTTCTTTTTGTTTGAGTCGTAGTTGGTTTTTCTTATATATACGGTCTTCAAGCGGCACATAGGGCATAAATTTCATTTTTGAATAGTTACTATCGGTCTGTAAGCGGCACGTAGACCAACTCGATCGGGCAAGGAAACCGATTTTTATGCGTTTGGGGCAGTTCTTATAATTTTTAAACGGTCTTCAAGCGGCACGTAGGGCATGAACTGTCTTTCAGATAGATAATATTGGTTTGTAAGCGGCACGTAGGGCAATTTGATCGGACAGGGAAACAAATTTTTTGTATGTTGATTGACGGTCTTTAGGTGGCTCAGTAGTGTGCTTTTCGGGGAGTGATCTTCTTTTGTAGTAGAACTTCATATTCCTTTGGCGAAAAAACTGCGGGATTCTCTGAAAAAGTCCTTGCACGATTGATTTCGTAGCTGTGGAATTGATTCTGAGAGAAAAGTGTTTTTCTAGTACACATAGTTGTTATGGGTTATTTCTACAAAACTAGAGGTGTTCTGCTACTTACTCAACGATCTTTTATGGAACTTGTTGAGAAGAACTGGAAGAGCAAATCCTTTTTGAGAGGGTAGAAAAGTGGGGTGGGGGGAGGTTATCTGAATGTCTCTGAGAGGAGGGGAAATTTGCAGAAAGAGCGTGGTAAACGAGAGGAAGATAATGTTCTCCATGCATTGTTGTAGCAGGAATTTAGAGAAATGCTGAATGATTTGTGGAGATTATCGCTTCTTCGAGCAGTTCTCCTTTTGTCCTATTTTCAGGTGTATAAGCCGCACCCTTTTTGCTCTAAACGCGAGCCGACCCAGGCGTGCCGCCGCGCATATGTCTCGCGAAGCGGTCGCCTTATCGCATACTGCTCTCACCTAACGCGCTCCATGATGGCAGTCAGTCATTTGGCGTGTTTGCCTTTAGATTGAAAAGGGTGCGGCTTATACACCCGAAAATAGGGTAGAATGCTTTCGCAAAAAACTTCTCAGGAAAGGAATAGAAAAAACTCAAGAAGTATTTATAGTCACAACTAAGTCCTTATATTGTATCTGCCCCGACCCCTTGCTAGCGACCCGTAGGGTCGCTAGTAAGATATACAGGGTGTCCCAAAAAATGTATCGAACGTTTGATCGTTAATATCTCTCTTTCCAAAAAGTCTTTTGCCTTGCTTCAGGTACCGTTTTGTAGAGCTGGCTTCAACTTAAATTGTAGAACGAATCATTACTGTAGGATTACGGTAGAAACTTGAAACATATGGTGTCAATGTGGAAAAAGCTGTTGTTTCAAAATTTTCAAAAAAATGTGAAAACTTGTGTATTGGGGTTTGTATGGACGCTGAGGTCAATACTCAACTATTCACAAGAGTGCGAAGCTTTTTAAACGGTATAACCGCACTTTTTAGGAACGTTGAAGAAATGGCCGCTACCTCTTACTTGGCATAACTCTTCAATGAAGCATCGTAATAAATTGGAAACTTTACAGTTGTAATCAGCAACTCTAATTAGCCTAGTGTAAAAGTTTTTAGGCTGTTTTGTTTCTTTTCTGGGGCAAAATATGGCCTTTCATTGCTTAAAACCCTCTTTAAAATTTCTACCGTAATCCTACAGTAATGAAGAGAGATGAGTGATTCGTTCTATAATGCTAATCTAAGTTGAAGCTAGCTCCACAGATTGGTACCTGAAGCAAGGGAAAAGACTACTTAGAAGAGAGATATTATCAATCAAACGTTTGATACATTTTTTGGGACACCCTATATTTTACACATTGAATTCTCAATTCTTTAAGAGATAGGTTTTCTTCCATATCAAGGTAATCTAAATATTAAGGTATTTTGAATATGCGCAGAACTGGGGAGTCGTGATATTTTGAAGGATTTGCATAGTCATTTCCATAGTCATTTCTCTACATAGACGATGTAACATAGTATCATTTTTAAACCTAAGCGCGTATTTCTGACTTCTCTTTTTACAATTCGTATTTCACATCTATATATAGAGGCTGCTGCATGATGCAGACGCAAAAACTTTGGAAGCGAACGCGGCTTTATTAGCCGCAGAGCTGAGGCGCAGGATTTACAACGGTGAAGATACGTGCGCGCCGCGTTCGCGCCCGCTCAAACAGTATTGATTCTGCGCCTTCGTCATGCAGTAGCCTTTGAAGGCAGTGGCTCGGGAAAATCGCGAGTAGGGATTTTCCACAACTACATGGGGGTTGCTGGAGAGGCGGGGCGAGGGCCCGTTAACTGTATCGTATTGATTGCCTGGGCTTATCAGCCAATTGCCGCCAAAATAGGTGAAGTTACAGTATCCTGCAGTCACTTGCTGGTTATGGCGGGAATCCGTCTCCCGCCTCTCCAACAATCTGCGCCGGTAAACTCCAAAAAAAACAACACTTTTTCAATTTTCAGTCACAGTACCTGACTCAGCTGGTCCAGAAAGCCATGTAATTTTGAAAAGCCCCCAGTCGCGATTTTCCCGAGCCACTGCCTTTAAGTCCTGTATGCACGTACATCCCCGCTGGGGAGGGGAGGGGATCTGAGAGTGGGGTGCGTCATATTTCGCCCACGTATCTTTCCTCTTCTTTCCCTATTTTGCTTATGAAGTTTTTCATACACTTGTACCTGCGCATGATGGATGCCAGGTTATTTTATACAATATCGGCTTTTTGCCATTTTGTGTGATCCCCAGGGGATCCCCAGGGTATCTCTAGGTGATCACCCCTTTTCACAGTGATTTATCCTCCTGAAAAGTCAACTAAAACGCTGCAAAATCGTATTAAGGGCATACTACGGCACTGCTGAGCATGTTTTTGACAGGAAATGGAATCTGAAGGTAGTGTTTTCAATGATCTCTGGCTCGCGAGCTAGGGATTACCGAAGATTTCGATATCTTGAGATTTCACTTATTTCTACTATAAACATATTTAGCAGTGCCGTAGTATATCCACAGTACAATTTTACAGCGTTTTCATTGAGTTTTCAGGAAGATAAACGGCATTGAAACTGCGAGGTGATTTCCTGGGGATTCCCAGAGGATCACACAAAACAGTGAAAATCTAATCAATCACGCCTAATCTGGCATCATTTATGAGCAGGTATTAGGGTATGAAAATCTTCATAAGCAAAATAGAGAAGGAAGAAGAAAGAACCCTGAGCAGCGAGATATGACGCATCCCTCTCTCAGATCCCCTCCCCTTCCCAGCGGGGATGTGCGTGCATACGGGCCTAAGTTATAAGCTGGCATGCCCTTTTGGTCCGCCTTGTGGGTCTAATTAGCTTCAAATGCGCACTCAAGGGCTCAACTTGCGGGGGCTTTCTTCTGTTTCTAACACTGAGTAGATACTTCTGTCCTGAATCGACTTGAATCACCACTTCTTCCGCATTGTGAAATGGAAACGAGTTCTACCGCTTTGTTGGCACGAAAGGGAAGTGTTTTGATAGTGATTGATAACATTTTGTTCAATCGATAAATCAATCAAAAGAGTGAAATTTCGCCGCGGAAATTAGCCTACGAGGAGGACCGTTTTTGAACATAGTATGTGTGCAAAGTTTGGCCCTGATCCCACAAAAAATGTTTACTAGCTAACAATTTACCAACACTTGCTTTATGTATATACCAGTGCGTCACATCCGCTTCGCGGAGGTTCGCACTGGCTCTCCTATACGTATGCCTTTCTCATATTCGCATAAAGATGTTTAAAACATACCACGCGATATCGAACATCACAAATAAATTGTAAACAACTGTTCATTCTTGAAGCACCTCCACGTAAGATCGGTAATTTTGAGGAAGAAAACTTTTTCGCAAAGGAACACCTGCGAATTTGAATGGATTACTGAGTTAGTTTTGGCTTGGTAGTCGTCTTAAGGGTAATAATCACTTTGAGCTATATTTTCGTGTAAAAATCTTTTCATATTTTTAGGTAAAACTTTGCCAAATCGAGTATTGACGCGAACACCACTTTTTGGCGCTGTTTTCGCAGAAAGGCAAACTTTTTGAGCACTTTTTGTTCTAGAATTCATGGAGCGCAGATTTACTTGTTATGCAGATCATGGCTTTGCAAAAAATCCAAATCTAAACTCAGTTTTGCCGGATTAAAGCCGTGTGGATCCGTTTGACGCAAAATTTTTGTAGCATCAACCCAACGGATCCCCACAAAATTTTGCAAGATGAGCCTAGATGTTGGCAAGATGCCACGACCAAATTTTTAGCTCAAGACATTTGCTGCTACTCGCTCTATGAATTTCGTGACAGACAGACGTACACACAGACACACAGACAAACAGACGTAAACA